CGAGGACGCTCGTACCCGGGAACTCTGTGCTTATCCACATTCAGTGGGCACACATCTACCACCCTGCCCCCTGCTTGCCCTGAACCCTCCACATTCTACGTTGGCACTTCACAATCTGAGGACTGTCTCTGGAGCACGATCTATACGCCGGGTTCGACTCCGCCGACTGGCGGATTTCCGGTCCTTGTGTGGTCAGTCGTACTCATGTCTGCGCAGTGTAGCTGACATCCGTCTGTAGGATCCACGGCGGGTCTAATTACTTTGGATCAGCTTCTGCTCCTGGATTAGACGGTAGCCAACTTGCCTCAAGCGGAAACATCATGGTCGTTGTCATTCAGTACAGGTGAGTCTCTGATTTCGTCGAGCGAGATACTTAGGCGGCTTCAGACTTGGAGTTCTGGGCCTGGTTCCTCCTTCCCAGGCAGCCTCCAACGGCGACCCAAATCTCGGTCTACAAGACATCATCCATGCCCTTCAGGCAGTCAATGAAGGCATCTCGGTGTTCGGTGGAGATCCATCCAAAGTCACGGTCGGAGGAGAAAGCTCTGGAGCCCAGATGATCAGAGGTGAGCTGGTCCACAATCTGCTCATAGGGTACGACTTGAGCATCTTTCAGCCTTGCTTGGTGCACCTTCCGCTGCTGGCCTCTTTCGAGCGGCCATCCTCCAGTCTGACCCCATGGTAAGCTCATGTGGTCTCGTCGACTCAGCTAAATACGCTGCCGTTCAAAGATCTATGGCTTTGCTTCGAGTAGCCTCACCACCCAGCTTCAGTCATATGTCTACTCTCTGGGTTCATTGGGTCGATGCACAGACCTCTCCTGCCTTCAAGCCTTATCGGTCGAAGATGTACTGTCAGCACAGACACAACTCAATCAGATGGCACCTTACATGATCACCGGAGTCCCCTTTTCGGAGGGTGAGTACAGGTACATGACCAGAGGTGGTCTTCCAGCTTATGTACCTGCTAGTGATGCGACCAACTTACGGTACCCCCACCCTGCCTGCCGACCCGACCGAGTCTCTGTTTGGTGGTGTCTCAACATTGTCGACCTCTAACATCCCTCTCCTCATCACTACAGTCCGTAACGAAGGTGGTCAAGCCGTCTCCCAGCTTTTCTCTTCTCCTATATCCCCGAACAACAACACCTATCTGTACACTCTCGCCGCATTGGTCGGTACTGGACGAGCCGGACAGATCGTCAATTCTGCTTCCTACGCTCTGCCCGCGTCGGCTCCAAGTGGCAGTGACATCTTCCGAGAAAAGTTTGAGCTGGCCACCACGGACGGGACATGGAGATGCCCGAATCGCCAAGCTGCAGCTCTTTGGGCCGGTACCGGGGCAAATGTCTGGGTCGGAGAATGGGAGGCTGGCGAGACCTATCCTACCAACGCGTATGGCGGATACTGTACCAGTAAAGGAAGGGTCTGTCACGAGGTAAGTCATCTGCGGGGTCGACACGGTCAGTAAAGCTGAGCCGCCACAGGATGATATCTTCCCATCTTTTGGTACGAATGGCGCGAACGAAAACTTGGTAGGCCATTCTACATCCTTTTATCATCCAAACTGACCTCGAACCCTGATTGCTCTTTCTGCTCGTGCACCTCATCTTCCTCCTCCTCCTCATCTCCTGGTACGACCGCCTCCACAACAACCACTCCCTGTCTCTTCTCGGCGCCTTGCTCCACTTCCTCTGCCGCTTGCGCCTCCACCACCTTGTTCTAAATTGCCACCTCCCGCACCTCCGAAACACGACGTAATTTCATCCTCGACCCACTCCTTTTTACCCTTGACCGCTGCGTCACCATCGTCAATGGCGACTGTGACCTCCAATCCATCCTCTACGTCACCTACTGCACAACAGGAGACACAGATCTCTACGTACTGGACAAATTTCGTCACCGACTTGAACCCCGGATCAGACTGGCAACCTTACACTTCTAACAGTACAGGCATTGACAATGTCAAGGCTATCGGTGGCGGAGACGTCATTGCCTGTCCCCAGGGGATGTGGGGAAATGTCTACAAGTACGACTGGCAGCTGCATCCCTAAGCACTGCCTTCTGCTGAGCTACTCCCAGCTGTATCATCTTTATACTCAGTGACGTACTACTTTAAAACACGGTGCGAATGGACGCTTCTTCTTGATCTGCGATGAACTTGGCGATTCGAAGCCCATTACATGTCGTCGCCTAAAGCTTGATCTTATTGTACAACACTGATGCGTTCCAACCTGCCACTACTGTCTCCTCATACTTCACGTTCCTCTTCAAAAGCTTGCCTTCTGGATCATAGGCATTAGCTTTGCCGTCATGCAGCTGGAGCCGAGAGTGAGGCATGGGCGACAGCTGAGTGGGTTACGGACATTAGCGACACCACGGACATTGGCTTTGCTTCCGGCTTACAGTGCCCGAGCTCAGACCTGATTCTGCGGTCACTGCAGCGGTACCACTCAAGAGCCTTGGAATTATCGGCAGGAGATGTTGAGGGACGGCTAGACTCGATCGCTTTCCGTTCCCCAGTTGATAGTCCCCTGCACATCCCCGTCAACGACCTGGTGACTCGTATGCGATTTGACTCACCGTTACCTCCCCATACCATTACGTCGCGCCCGTAGAGACCCTTCTGTAAGCCATCCTTGTCAGCTTGGGCTACTGTGTCAAGCACTGCGAAGACATGAGCGGCAGATGATGGAGCGGCGGAGATGGAGTGGATTTCGACGGGAACGAATGATTTCGTCTTTTCAGAGTCTACGAAGAGGATAAGCTTCAGTATGCGGATGACGAAGCGTTGGTGGACCAACATTCTTGGAGACCACTGACGCTATCTGGACGTCAGCATGGCGAAACGTGGGTCACCTGCTTCGAACTCACGTTTTCACTTTGACGGGAGCGAATCCAGCCGATGACCACAGACCGTTGCCCAATGATCCCGACATACCATTTCCACAGGAGAGTAAGTCGATCAGGGTACTGGAGCCCGGCGTTGCCCGCCTCACGGTGAAGAATGTCGATTGACCTGCCGCAACGACATCGATACATTCCACAGAGGTACCGCTTGGGTAGTTCTTCGCCAGAACTATCTCCACGGGAACCTGGATTATCTCGATCGTGCCACCTGTTCCAAGACCGATTTGCCCAGCTTCATTCGCTCCGAAGCCCAAGACTTTCCCATTGGATGTTCGCATGAATGACGTCCTGTCAGAGGCCGCAACTTGAGCTACGTTGATGCCTTTGAGCAGGTGAATCTCCTTCAACCTGGTGGCGAACCGGATGTCTGATTCCGGAGGAAGCTCAGAGACCTTACTGAGCGCTTGCGGGGACGAAGGAACGGGGAAAGATGTGCTAAATTCTTCGTTGGTGCCTAGTTGACGGTGGGAGTTTGCAGCCGGGGTCAAGGGTAGAGAGAATGTTCGACCTTTAGTTGTCGCTGCTAGAAGATGATGGGTGCCGACAGCGACGCTCTTCCACCTCTCTCCACGTTTCAGGCTAGATTCGGGTTTGAGCTCAATGAAATCCACACCTGGTGATGAGCCAAAGAGCCAAGACCACCATGACATTTCTTCCTTGTAGATTTTCTGATCCTGGAACGCTTTAGACGCAGAAACGGCGTAAAGCTTTCCACTTGAACTGAGCGCAATCAGCTTTCCCGGTGCAGTCTTCAGCGCTGTAATTTTCTGAGTCGCAATCAGTATGACGCCAATGAAGGGATTGTACTGCGCCAAACCCTCACCTTGCCCTTTAGAGATTTTCCCATCTCGCCTGATGGGTCGTATCCCGCTCCCCACATCCACAAATCTCCATTCGCATCCACACAAGCACCATACTGTTCCGCAAGCACAATATCACGGTACGGCGTGGATCCAAGTCGAGATAATGGTGTGGGCTTCTTTAAGACAGTGGTGGATTGATCAGATGACAAGGTCAGGTAGCGGTTGGTGCCCCAAGCTATCGGTGTGTGTGGTCCAGGTGACGCTGCCAGAATGGCATTTTGACGTTTTATGAGAGCTGATGTAGATGAAGCAGAGGGCGCTGGCGGCGTCTCGGAGTCGGCTCTCAAAGGGAATGAGTAATTGTACACCGCGTAGATCGATATCGATAAGGTGGACGCGGCTACCAGCGGTATGGCTCGCGATCGAAGAACGCGCGAGGATGACGCGGTGAAGGACATGGTACCCAGGAGTACCCGTAGAAGAGATGTGAAGGAATCACTTCGGGCTCCTTCGCAAAGCTATCGCTGATGTCCTTCACGCTCTAGCTAGCTCTAGATGACCGGTTCGATGTTCAAGGTTGCCGATCTTCGATGAATGCGGAGGCCCACACGAAGGTTGGGATAAAATGGCTTAAATTCCTGTTGTGCAGAATATTCAGAACCCACCTCTCAGCAGGGATCCTATCATCATCGAGATAGTGCATTCCAGTTCTTTGAAAGCGTATAGAGCTCAAGATGGCGTCAGTAGCTTCTTTGACCCGAACGGGACGGTCAGCTGTCTCTCGGAACCTACCTGCTAGAGCATTCACTACCTCACTTTCCGCCCGCTCTGACTCCCTGTTCGTGGTGAGTCGAGCTCAATATGTGTATTTGCGTCTCCCTGATTGGCTCGTCCTTTTCAGCACCGCGATACCGACTACAATAACCCAGATGTGAGCTCATTCAATACCTTATGTATGTGGAATGTGGCTCATCATACTAGATTCCCTTCGAATTCGATGCTGAGAACCTCAAAATGGCGAAAGAGATCATCGCTCGATACCCTCCACAATACAAAAAGGCAGCCGTTATGCCAATCTTGGATCTTGGACAGAGACAGAACAAGGGATGGACCAGTATAAGTGTTATGAATGCAGTCGCCAAGCTGTTGGAAATGCCAAAGATGAGGGTGTACGAAGTGAGTAGATCAGATCGCTCCGCGTCGTCTGTGAAGGCTAAATATGCACGCCAGGTTGCTACCTTTTACACCATGTACAACCGTGAACCTGTGGGCAAGTACTTTGTGCAACTGTGCACCACGACACCGTGCAAACTTGGAGGATGTGGATCTGACATCATCCAAAAAACAATAGAGGAGAAGTTGGGAGTTCACGGAGGAGAATCGACTAAGGACGGCAAGTTCACTTATATTGAAGTGGAGTGCTTGGGAGCCTGCAGCAATGCGCCGAGTGAGTGTTGCTCTATGCCAAAGGCTGTGTGAGTAGCCTGCTGACCCGTCTCGTAGTGATGCAAATCAATGATGACTTTTACGAGGATCTGACACCAGAATCAACCGTCAAGATTCTGGATGCCCTGTCGAAAGGAGAGAGACCAAAGCCTGGACCACAGTCAAAGAGATACAAGTCGGAGAACTCTGCTGGTTTGACAACGTGAGTCTTCATAAGGATGGTCCCTGTATCGTGGCACCAGCTGATCAAAGTCTCTGCCTCTCGTCGCAACAGTTTGACTGGCAAAGTGAGTGTAATACTCTGTTCTTCCTGTCCCCACTGACAATCGCCTCAACAGCCATATGGACCGGGAGAGTTCTGTCAACCGGAATTTCAATAGGCGCAAAATATGTATGAAAATGTAATCCCTGCGAGCACAGCATACCGCTGGAACTCAAAAAGCTGTCATCCTTCCACGAAAGCACGCAGCGAGCACAGCCTATGGTTCAATGTGTATACTCGTTCTGTAGCATGCCTCCGAAGGCGCTCATTGAGGGCTAAGATGTTTGGGGTCTATCAAGTCAACAACTTATGACCGGAAATAGCGGCATGATGCCCCACTTAGGGATTCCAGTCTTGTTCCAATCTACATCAATCAGTTCCTGACGTGAGCAGCTGTAATACCGCTGATACACCACGAGCGGCCGCGCAGGTGCTTCAGCGTCTTGATAGACCTCGCCGAGTTCTCTTCTCTTGTTGCCAGTAGAAGATGCATATCAAGAGGCAATCATCATCTGCGGATGGCTTTCTGTAGGGGAGACACAAATGAGCGAGAAATGTGACTGCGCATCGTCGAAGACTCACCTGTATCTATTGACCACTACCTATGACAGCCTTTGCACGATCCTTCAGATCAGCTTCTGGACTCGGAGGTCCCGGGGCAAATGTAGCGTAGAAGAAGTATCCAAGTAAAACAGCAGAAGCAGCACCGAGCGCGAGACGAGTGCGGTCTGGGAAAGACAAGTCAGCATACCGACAGGATTAGCAAAGGTCATATGAGGGCTCAATGTAGGATGATCACTGACTCTCTTCGTTGGTGATTCCCGCGTACTTCTGTTGCTGTTCAGTAGCGTATGTCCGCTAAGTGATGTTAGCTCGTCGGCTCTATTGATGCTCGGGCGAGAGGATCTCGAGCCCTGGGACTCACCAAAGCCACAGCTCGGGATGATACGGGCTGGGCTCTTAATGACCTTATAGCAGTACGAGCGAACATGGTGATGATTGCTATACGAGGATAGAGAGACTGATCTGAATTGGTAGCAGCGAGACTCATTCAAAAGCCATCGTTCGGTTAGGAAACGACCGTGGGAAAATGACTTCTGGACTCGCACAGGCCAGTGGCCGAAATTCAACCTAAGTCTCCACATGAAGCTCAATCGAGACTCAGAGATTCAAAGGAGCGGAGACTGTTCTGGGACATCATGCCAATACATGCCAAATTGGCCGACCTCAGCTCCTGCTCCTCCTCACTCTTTTCACGATCTTCCGCAAGAGGCTATCTAAAACGCGAACGTCCACCTGCAACAGAGTCAGCGAGTGTTCCAAACCATATTTCGATCCTCACTTTCAACGGACTCGCTCGGTTGTGCATTGTCTTGTCCCCTTTCCGCGTCCTCTCGTGTTTCGCCTTCACCCGATTTCCCTGCTGCAGAATGGTTAACTCTAGGCAAGATCATCTCTGAGCGAAAACTCACGAGCAATAGATGCTCATGACCCAAAGCTTCCGACATCCTAGAATTTCCAGCGTCAGACCATCCCTTAGGAAATATCTATTGGCCTTCAGCATTGATTTATCGACGTCTCATCCTCCAACCCACCTCGATCACTGTTCCCCTTGGTGGCATGATCAGCTGGGCCGTCAAGCCGTATCCAAGCACGCTGATCAGAACCTGGGAAACATTCAGTAGACTGAACGAAGCGTTGAGAATACGCTCACGTCGGCATTAGAAGCGAACTCCATGACGCTCGCAGAATCCATTCGCTCTATTGGGATGTGAGCGGTATTTGCGAGGCCTTCCTTCGCCAATCTCTGTAGGATCTCGAGCATGGCGGAGCGATCATTCTCGGACATGGTACTGCTCTCCAGCGGCGGTTCGAAATAGACAATTTTCGGTATCTCTGTTGTCACCCAGCCTGGAGATCCACTCGACTCAAGGCGTTGGGCTTGAAGTCCTGCCAAGATTCGAGCCCGGATAGTCTCGAAGTAGTCATGTTGACTATCCAGGTTGAACTTGGTGTTCAATGGACGACTGTCCTGCGATAACCCTTCGTTGGCGTCCGATCTAGCTTGACGATTCACAATTATCACTGAAGGGGCCATCAGCCCTGTCTCGCTGATAATAATCAGGTGAGGAAAATGCTCACCCCGGTCGAGTAACATTGAGCCTTTCTGGCTCAATTTAGACCTGGTCAGCACATCCCATTCGCCCCGAAAAATGACACCTGCCGTCATTAATTAGACAAGGACCAGAACTTCAGCAGGACATACGAGACGTGTCGTTGAATAGCGACGTGGCGATGATCTCCTCCATGCCGCCTTCCTTGTCCCAGAAATGCTGGTGCGGAAACACAAGGCGATCTACTGGCAACGTCCAGCCATCACGACTGATCTTAGCAGACTGTACCAATGATAAAGCTTGAAACGCTCCAACGAGTGATTCTGCGAGAGTTTCGGACGGTTTGCCATCATTTATGAAGACTGGAATTATAATTCAGGTACGACCAGCGATCTGATGACGTACTCGTGACATCTGCCAGCCGACGCTGGGTTGCAGCTTCTACCATTTCATCCTCAATCGCTTCTGATGGTCGGAAGAGGTGCATTTGACCGCTACGATGCGAGGCCGAAACATCGCTCCATGCATTTTTCTCTTACGGTGAAGGCATCTGATGAATGAAAGTCAGCCAAAATACCCAGTCGTCGACTCGAAGCCTCACAGAAAGTATCATCTCGGAACCATATATTGTCCCAGATCTCGAATCCTGGAATCGATAGTACAAGATCGGAAGGGAAATGATTGGGCTGAAGGACCTCTTCTGGCGAGTTTAGGATTCGTCTACCGGTGTCTGATCTTGCAGACTGCATGATGATATTGCGACGGATAGTCGGATCCTGAAGGCATAGCATGAAGGTCACGATGCTGAGGGTCAGCACTGAGAATCACGGTGTATACCCGTCAGCTACTCTTCTTCGACCACCGCGACCCTCCAGCTTACAGCCGAGCACAAAGCTTCTGGCTTGACTCAGATCGCATCGGCTTTGCTTCCCTGGACGTATAAACTTGGTGGTCAATGGTTGTTAGGTTTGCCCCATGGCTGCTGATGAAATCCGTCTGTGTCAGTTGTTGGGGCTGATGTCCAGCCGTACGTCTCGGCTCTCAACAGGCTCAACATGCTCTAAAGGTGATTCTCACGCAGACGTTGCAAACCAGGCGATCTTTCAAAGGACTCAACCGTTGATCGTCTGCATTGAAACGGAGTACTTGAGAAAAATGAGTGAGAATCTGGGATCAGCGACCTTTGATGCTCCTGAAGGTCGCTTAAGAGCCGGGTGGTAGAGCAGGTATTGCGCTGGCAGGAGTCATGGAAGGTCATATCTCTGGGTTATTCAGAACCGTACAGCAGTCGCAGGCTTCGCATCATAACGTCGCCGGTGTCGCACGGCTTTCATCCCGGATACACACGTTCATTGTTCTCTCTCGAGGACTCCCAGTCTAGCACAACAGACTGAACATGCTCATGACGCTTCGTTGAGGGTCCCGGCTTTTGACAATCACTGTCCCACTCTCGGCGATTCCCAGTCTAGCTCGACAATGCGACACGCTCATGACGCTTGAATGAGATTTCGGCAGATGTCTGCAATATGATGATGACGAGACGGTCGGTTTAAGCGGTTGTATGGCAGAAAGGGTTGTGGACTTAGGAGGACGCCCCAAGAGCGGTATATCGACTCGCCGTTCACGCCGCTCTCCCACTCCTCTGGCTCCAGTTACCAGTTACGACAGGTACATGCATTGGGAAGTGGACCTGACCGCCGCACATATGATTGTCGGCTCATTCGGTCTCACACAAGTTCGTACGAGACACAAACGTCACCTGATTACTACGGACACTGCCGCAATGGTGCATTTATTCAATTTCACTCGCATCGCTGATGTCATTGTAAAGAATGTAAACCCGCAAATTGGAGCAGCGGCATGTCGGTAGTAGACCGGTCCCGCTCATCATCCATTGCCATCCTGTATACCTATAGCTGGTGCTCAAAGTCAGGATACGCATGCAAATTGACCCAAGGACAGATCATTCTACTCGATGCATCGATGTCTACAAAAGCACGGCGGCGATCTCGCACAGCCTGTTTCATCTTAATGAGAAGGCACTCAATGGCAATCGCAAATCGCAATAGCTATCGAGGATTCATGTCCATGCATAGCTTTGATCGTACGGTGCTAATGAATGATCATTGTGAGATGTGTGTGGCTGTACTGAATAGCCTGTACGGACTAGCTCCTGAACGGTGAACATGCCGGTAATCGGCAGCAGGAGATGTACATACATGCAACATTGGTTCGGTGCTCATGTTCTCAGCCGCACAGGTCCCGCCCAGGGAAAGGCGTGCATGTCCAGGTAATCAGATGTCAATCCCTTGCTGTAAGGTAATTGGTGGAAGGGAAAAAAAAAAGATTAATCTTCAGATCTACGGATCTTATTCCGCCCTGATGTACTGCACGTTAATGCGGTATATGCCTAATTCGCTTTAACTGATTTGGAGAATCCGGTGCAGGGCTCCACTTAACCGTTCTATGGAGCGGCAAAAAGATGCATCGCCAAGCTCCACTGCGCTCTATGGTCCTATGTCCTCTGTACTTGATTCTCACTCGAGGAACCCGCAGTGCCGGCATCCCGGCAATATGCAGCAGCGCCACTGACCGTTCCCAAAGATAGGCATATTCTGTCATAGATCTGTCGTTCAGATCTAAACTTGTCTCAAGTTCAGCAGTGGCTATGACCATGTACACCATGCATGCTAAGTGTTCGAAAGATATAAATATGAGACCTCAGAGCGGTCAGGAGTGTCCATCAACCCACCTTGAACAACAAGAACAACAACACCAGACTACCCACACAGAACCTCTAATACTTCAAATCTCCAATCATTTTCAACATGCTCTCCAAAGTCCTCGCTGCCACCATTCTCTCAGGTCTCGCCTTGGCTGCCCCCATGTCTAAGCGACAGAACCCTCGACACATCTCCAAGATCTACGCCAGCAACGGACAATGTCTTGGTTTCACCGAGTCTCAGGACCTGTACAACGGTACCCCCGTAGGAAACGTCGACTGCAACTCTGACGCTGCCATCGAATGGATGTTCTTCGTCGGAGAGGCCAACCACATCTACCCCGGCACGAACCCCAACTTCGTCTTGGACGCTGGTTCCGACCCCCACAACTTTGGAAAGTTGCACCTCTGGCAGCCCTATGAAAACTTGTTCCAGCAAACGTGAGCGATCCTTGTCCAGAGTTGTGATACACAGCTGATGTGAGACTTTAGCTGGTGGTACACTACCGACAACCGAATTGCCATCTACAACGGTGACCAGTGCATCGACGACGGCAACGGTGGACAAACTTACCAATGCACAACTGGAAACACGAACCAAGTCTGGTTATACGACGGCGAGCCTGGCCACTACACCTGCGAGGACGCCACTACCACCACCGTTACTGTCACTGCCACTCCCACCGCCACTTCGTCGTAAACGAGTGACATGATTCTATGCCAAACCCGAGGCATATGGACATTGAATTTACTGTATCGATCAACATAATCAGTCTCCACAGATATCATAACGATGCATCTAGTATCATCACTGTCCAGTGCTACAGGTCTGAGCTGCCTTTCGCTAACATTATTGACGCGGCTTCATGTTCTCTAAAACACTCGATAAAACTGTGCTTGAAATGCCAGCAGCACATGCCTTCAGCCTGCAAGCGGTTTCAAAGTCCATTTCGAAGCTACTGATCGTCAATCCGGCATCATGGTGAATCAGACAATAACACTTACACAAACTCTTGTTTCTGATACCGGGATTCGCAGTTGCTGCCACATGCCACTTTGAGCTCTTGTAGGCCTCGACCATCGCCATTAGCTGCATTTGGTATCCAAGCGGCGTCGGCCAGTGTAAACCCATCTCTCCAGATACTTGCCAGCACCCGGATCTGAGTGAGCATGAGTAGTTCGGCATTTCTCTGTTCCTGCTCGTGCTTCCCATCCGTGATCCGTGGGTTTGACCTGTTTGCGAGGCGAGGTGGGTCCATATCCTGCTCTCTCGTGGAAGTGATGGTTGTACGAATCTTGGACCATATCAACTTTGCCCAGGCGCCGACTGAAGATGGATCTCCACACAATATAGCACGCCGAGCAATGCCTCTCGAGATCCTTGAGCTGTTGCCGTCCTCTGACGGACATGAGAGGTGACTCGTTGCATGTTGTGATTGGTCGTGAGAAAGCTTGGTAGTCTGACACCGATGTCGACAGTTTCGTGAGAGGGTTCGGAAAACAAGTCAGGAGCATATTCCTTTTGTTCTTGAGGGCGTCAATCAGCTCGTCTATCTGATAGATGTTAGCGGCTTTCCCCTTCCGTTCCTGCTGCGGCACCGACTCACGACGAAAGGGCCCAACTGATTAGGACGGAGAATCTCTCGCTCGTTATGACTAGACCCCAGATCTTTGCAATATGTCCTCCAGGCTACGACCCCACCATATTTTCTTTGGTCATTTGCCTTGACCTTGTGTTTGATGCATAAACCACTCTTACGGGCGTCCAAGACGAGACAGAATCTGATACCGGACATCAGTTTTTTGTCCTTCAATTCAGCTTTAAGCCACTTACATGCGGGCTAATCGCACAGTATCCGGATGGTCTGGTCCATTTAGATATATGGCATTGGTATGTAGACTTGAGTCTATAGACGCGTCAGAGGACATGAGGCGGTTGCGATCAATCTTCACTCACAGCTGCCGGTAGATTTGTCGTCCTTGAGTGCAACGAGCAAAAAGACTTGGTGATTCATAATCATCTCATCGACTGACTGCACTCCACTTGCTACGGCCTCAACCTGAAGCACCTCCTTGTCAAAGTTTTCAGATTCGAAGTCATCAGGGGCATCGAGGACCGAGAGGTCTGCATTGACGAAGGACTGCACAAGGCTGGGCTCCCAAATCACATTGAGAGTGTCGCCATCGTGGTCACCGCCTCCGAGCACAGAAGCTGGAGATCGTGAGAGAGAGAGGCATGTGTCGACATGACAATACAGTTCCGTAAATGGAGCAACTCTTCCTTTCGGACCGCCGTGAATTTTCTCACATCTGTAGGTAGTTTGCATGGCGATCGGTAGGCCAAGACGGGGCCGGATAGGTGGATGACCGGAGCGAGGGAGTCAGAATCTCGGATCGGCTCATCAGGGAAGTAAAAGTGTATCTCATCGGGACCCAGTATTCCGAATGGATCGGGGACTATGAAAGCTGATAGGGACCTGTTGATGGGGATCGAGATCGATTTCCAGATGCTTTGGGACAGGATTGAGACGAGGCGATAGAGCTTGTTCGCAGTGTAATAGGATTCAAGAGGGTCGAAACCAGATTGAAGAGCACGCATGAGGCTAAGAATCAGGAAGTCAGAGGTCTGTATTACTATACATTGATTTTGCTGATACGTCTCACTCACCTTTCAGCTAGGGTACCGGGTTGCCCACTGACGGGGTCAATATCGCGCTGCTCACGCTCCTTGACCAAGTCGCCGTTGTCCCTCTCAACAATCGCGTCATCTCCATGCCGATGAACAAGGCCCCCAATCTTCATGGATCGGCCAGTGGCTGAACACTGCCGCTGCTTGACTTGAGTTCCTGCTCCGCCTTTGGCACGGCAACTCGCAATCAAGCGATTCAAAGTCGCTTCGCGGGTTTCTCCGTCAGCCGACGCCGGATCAAAAGCCGCCTGCAAATCATCGAGGCTCTGTTGCGCCAAAGCCAAGATACTGGAGGTTGCTACGCCATTGTGGTTCATGATGATGATAGCTTCTGCTGATAGACTGATTTTGCGTTTGAAGTACCCACTTCTGACAACGTCCGACATCAACATCGACGGGTCGTTCCAATATCGAGAGGCCGCCAGGGCTTTCACCATAGATTCTCGAAGCACAACGTCCTTGCCAGGATACAGATCTTCCTGAACCCCCGGACATGATCGATAACAATCCTTTGGCTCCACCTAGTCGTATCTGGACTACACTGGGCATTCCACCATCTGACACTATCAATGGATCGACAGCCAGCCTCCGCGCAAGGACTCTTGTTGCGGTACATTAGCGAAGTGCAATCGAAGGCATCGCTCGGCTCACACATGAAACCGCATCCATCCGTGAGTATCTGCATAATTTGACTACTATTCCCGCGAAGCATCCCAAATGAGATGGTCTCGAGAAAAGATCTGCGACCGTCCAATGACTGAGCTGGGAGGGCAGTTCCGCTTACATGATTGGACTTCTTCTGCTTGGCTGAGAAGTTTCCAGGCGACACGTCACTGATCCTCTTCCTCGGTGTGGTTCGCTCCTCACCCACCGATGTCTTTGACGTTTGTTCAGCTAAAAGAGCGACAAGAGATCCTGACAAATTCGTTCCGCATTCATTGCACACTGCCGATTGATCCTCAGTCTCGTGCTGCCGGCGATTGAATGCTGGAATTTGAGATTGCAAGGATGCCGATGCCCAAGAAGAGGGCGGGAGACTTTCGTAATCGTCTCCTACATCGTCCCATCCGCTCATAGAGTTGGCTCTTCGAGGACCGAGACATTCGCGAAAATCCTCCTTATCTGTACCATCCTCCTCATCCATCGACATATCCATGACCTTCCGTAAAGCCATTTCTTCCTCCTCCTGGCATGTTTGCAGCCGGGACTGAAGGATGGCGGCCACTTTAATTTTCGGATCCACAATTGGCCTCAGAGCAGACTTCCGGCTGGGAGCCACACTCGGTGTACTGGGCCGAGAGACATTGTCAATGATCTCTGCAACGACAAGGGGGAATACCTCGGGGAACCTTGTGATGAATTCGTGGACGGTCTGAGGGATTTGACTCTCAAGCACCTTGAAATGTGGTCCAACGGACAACGGTCCAAGATTCGCAGATGTGCTGAGAAGGGTATACTGGGCAACATCAGCTTGCTTCAAAGCAGATGACCTCCCAAATCGCTTACTGCGTGTTGTATATCAACATTGTAGTCCTTGATATTCCAGGATTCAGTCATAGTCACATGACTACAGCAAGATCAGGCAATGGGTGTATGGGGTCCACAGGTCACAACGCGCCGCGCTCATATCCTTTGCAAGCAGATTGGTTCGTGAAATGTTGCCTGCACTGGGCTTGACCCTGAATCTTTGTATGTCTTCGACTCGGGGCGTTGCTTACATGGCCAATGGATTACATGGTCTTGTTTGCGTGGACGACCCCTCTAAGCATCGTCCGCACACCCACGATGATTGACTCGAGCTTCTACGATTGATAGGCAGGAGAAGCTCACCTCCTCGAAAGCGGAGGTTCAACCACGTTTCGCGAATTCCATCGGAATTGCTCATGAGCCATCTGAAATTCCAGTCTGCTCATCCACATCTGAGCTCGACGTGCTGGCACTCTAGATTGGCGAGAGATGATGTTTCTAAGGTCACTGCAGCCGATAGCCAGCTGCTCTAGGAGCGCTTCGCGTATCTTGCCCCCTGTCGCGGCGCGTGGTCCGCGACTCACTCGATTCGTTACGACCCGAACCACCCCTTATCATATCAATGGTCAAACCTATCCATTGGACGATCATTCCAACGTCCCGCCGACGATACTTGCCAAGTTGGACCGGAATCTCCACCTGAACCCTTCACACCCTATTTCCATCCTCCGCTCAATCATCGAATCTCACTTTTCAACATTCACACCCGTCACACCGTCATCGCCAATCTTGACCGTCACGCAAAACTTTGACGACTTAGGTTTCACACCTGATCATCCTGGTCGAGCGCTATCCGATTCGTACTACCTGAACAAGAATCATGTTCTTAGGACGCACACATCCGCTCACGAGATCGAAACGTACCAGAAAGGATTGAATCAATGGCTCCTCACGGCAGACGTATACAGGAGAGATGAGATAGATTCATCTCACTATCCTGTTTTCCATCAAATGGAGGGAGCTTCAGTCTGGCCGAGCTCTGAATTATACAAGCTTCCTCAAATGAATGCTGAGCTGGCTTCCAAGCTCGCAGAATGCCCATTGATCATTGAAGATACGTCTTCCATCTCGCCCGAAAATCCCTACCAGAAGTCTCATGATCCCGAACATGCCGCTCAGATCACTCAACACCTCAAACATTCTCTCAATTCACTCATTTTCAGACTCTTTGGACCAATAGCGACGAAGGATGGAGAACCACTACGTATCCGATGGATCGATGCGTACTTTCCCTTCACATCGCCAAGCTTCGAGGTCGAAGTCTGGTGGGATGGTGATTGGTTGGAGTTGCTGGGCTCAGGCGTCATGCAACAGCCTTTGCTGAACAGGGCAGGTAGGTCATGATTTTCGATAGATTGGGAGCGAAGACTGAAGCGGTGACGACAGGCGTTCCGGACAAATCCGGTTGGGCATTCGGTCTGGGTCTTGAAAGACTATGTATGGTCCTCTTCTCTATACCGGATATCCGATTATTCTGGACCGAAGACCCAAGGTTCATATCACAATTCACCCCAGGACAGATCACGCCTTTCAAGCCTTATTCCAAATATCCTCCAGTCACTCGAGATGTATCATTCTGGATCCCTGATGCGTCAAAGAAGGGAGTCACTCAGTGGCATGAGAATGACTACTGTGAGATCGTGAGGGATGTTGCTGGTGATCTGGTGGAAACTGTTCAGCTGGTGAGTCCGCGCTTCCGAAACAGGGTCCTTGCTGATCTCGCCAGATCGACGAATTCACCCATCCTAAGACCGGAAGGAGGAGCAAGACGTATCGCTTGACTTACAGGAGCATGGATCGAAATCTCCTGAATGACGAAATCTCTGGACTGCAGAGCGAAGTAGAGCGCCGGACGATCTCAGAAATGGGGATCGAGATCCGGTGACGCATAATATGCATTGATTGCTCCCGTCACATCCGTATAGCACCCATAAACAGAAATGAGCACAGTTTTCAACAGCCGCCAGTGTTGTATATCACATGCTCGCCGTCCTTTTCCTCCACGGTATCACTCGCGCAGCATTCCTTCTCGTTTTGACTTCTACGCGTCTCATGTCCGGAGTATTTTCAATTCATCTCACAGTTGTCCTCCAAACCTCAATCATCAGTCTATCCCTCCATGGCAAATACACCTTCATCCACATGGTCTTCCTTCTTTCTCGACATGACGGGCTGAGCATCCAGTTGGTCCAAATCATCGATATCGCCGTGCAATGAGGCTAGTGCCAATCCACTCGTTTTGACATTTGTGTTGTTACCCTGAAGATGGATCCTTGACAAGGCATTTGCTAAACCTCCAGGGAGACTTTGACCAGGGGCATGCTCTTGCAACGCTCTGGCAGACGGGGAAGAAGGATCACCGAGCGTTCTGATAAGAAACGGAGCTGCGTTGGCGTCTAGGTCCGATCTCTGACTTGGGTATTGACCAGTCGGGCTGAAACCTTCCTGTGAAGATTTCGGAGACCTCTGTTGTGTTAACAAAGACTGTTGACGAGACGCCGGGGGAACAGCCGTATTGGGACCAAACGTGAAGTCTCCACTACCGGTACTGTCCTTGTGAGGAGAAGCAACCTTTCTGGCATCGCCACCTTCTGCGGACCATAGGCCTTGAAGGTATCCCGGACCCATGGTCGGACCAGCAGATTGAGCCAAGCGTTCTGCACCAGATCCTGACCAGAGAGGTTTTTGAATGAAGGCTCCGCGGGATGGAGAGGCGGAGAACGAATCCTGACTGTCCCTCCTTGACATTCGCCTTGCTCGTTCGCGGGGCGTCAAAAGTTCCGCAAGGGAATCAGGGACAGCGAAAGCAAGGTCATCTCCATCTTCGTCGTCGTCATCCTGATCGTCCGCAAAGACGTCATCCTGTGATCGTCTGGGTCGATGATCGATCATCCGACGAGGTGAGAGCACTTCCGGCCGATCGTTTGGCGTCTCAGATCGAGCCCAGATGTTCTTTCGAGTTCCATCCGCGAAGGAGGCCGAGAGTGGCGGAAGAGGGCTATTCCCCGTCCGGCGATCCTTCATCGCAGAGTGGGAGAAGGAGGAGGAGAAAGCAGTAGATGGAGGTCTCAATGGCGAGTGCATACTGCCTTTGAGACTGAGAGGTCCAGAGCCCGAAGGTCGAGCAGACACTGAAGCAGATAATGGAGAAGGACGAGAAGGCGATGAAGCGAATGCAGATGCAGCGGCTGGCGATCTCGCAAATCCAGGTGAAGCCGATCCAGCTCCGGCAGGTGGAGGGGGACCGAATGGGTCTCGGAGTGGAGACGAAGGCAGTCGATGAGCTGGTGGTGACTGGATAGAGGACGAGAGGGCCGATTTGATGGGCACGGGACTGGCTTGTTCCGTAGATCCAGCATGGCCGACGGCGGCCGGACTCGACTTTACTGGTGATCGCAGATCGCCATGCCCTTTGCCTTCGCGTTCTCGCGCTTCAAGTTGTGCTGCTTTCTTGTTCTTACGGTCCATCGACATGGGCTCACCGGGTCGAACGTGAGCTAGAGCACCTAACAGGGCGGCGTAAAATCGGACAGTCTGAGCAATCAAGATGCAAACCCACATTTGTGACCGAATTTGCAGTTCCCTTTCAGGAACCATTGACAGATTTCCTTCTTCGCGCCTGTGAGCGCATCATCAGTCCGAGCCTTGCATGTGCGAAGTGGGCTCACCGTCTTCATGGGAGAACGGACAGTTGGATCCAGCGGTACATGCTCCCGCCTTGAAGAATCGACAGGGGACATGGCTGAGGCCTGTATCTTGCGTCAGTTCATTGTCACGATCGATTCTCGCAGGTAAAAACCAACCCTTCTCGCCTTTCTCACCATTCAACGCACTCTCTTTATCTTTCACAGGAGACACCGAAACGCCATTGGCACCACCGTTGTTGTTACCTTTGTTTGACTTGTCGAATCCGCCGACGGTCCTAACAGCTGACTTGGACGGAGTTGTCCCTGTTCGCTCTCGCCAATTCTCATCCGTACCAGAGACACTCGTACTGAATCCGATGGATCGAGTAGGGCCTTGTCGACGTACGGAGCTGGATCTAGGCGAGCCACTGGGCGAGCTTGGAGATCTGCCTAGCATGCCGCTTGCCGGTCTACGATCGCGAGGTGAACCGTCGAGCACAGAAGACGGGTCATCAGAGGTATTGATAGGTCTTGGGCGGGATCGAGAAGGAGCAGGTTCGACAGAAGCTGAGGCGAGAGGTGAGGGGGATGGAAGCGGGACTGACATGGTGGAACAATTAGCTTGACAGGTGTGGCAATGAATTCTAGCGGATAAAGAATAGTGATGAATTCTTGACAGGACCTAGACCAAGATCATAACTCGAGAATCCACATGCGATCCAAACGGTGTGGTGTGTATGCGGTATGTATATGCGCCGAAGAATTGCAGACCTATAGAGGACACTGTTCCTTCCCTTTGTAATCTTGGATCGTCACTCAAAGGGGAGGGGTAGAGAGGGCGAGGAGCAAGTATCGTTGTGGTCACCACTGGGAGCCAATAACGAGTCAAGGACGCGGGAGTGGCTTAGAGTTGTAGTCTAAGCCGTTGCCACTGCGTGTCAAGAGTTTCCGGGGAGGTATGACGCCAAGGATGTGTGACAAGGGGGATCTAGATACCTAAATGCGCGTGTACCAAGTGAGATAGATCGTCAATTTGGCGATGGGCAACTCTTGTACAATCTCAAAAGTGATGAGACTTATCGCCAGCAGCCGAGACAGAGTTTGGATCAAGAGACGGAATGAGACAGAAGAGACTGAGCTAAGAAGGTATGTAGCCGATGGTGAAGAGGTGGTCACTTGTTCAGAGACGTGTCTCTCTTGAACCCCCCGTCGTCGCCCCTCGTTCTCCGCCGGCTCTAATTGCCCTTCGCCGTTATCCGAACCTTGATTTCATTTTGGTTCCGCTGAAGCTAGCTGAGGACCCTCCCATTTTCGAGTTGCATAGATTGTCAGACGAAAGACGATGCTATGTAGCTATACGTGAAATGGTCACTTGGCCTCCGCTTCTGCACGCTCACTGCCTCCCCATCATCAAACCTGTAACACATACAGGTGATTTCTGCGCGCATTCGCTGGTGGAGAGTTGAATCTCCAGGGCTATCATACTTCGACTTTTACCTCCAACGGTTGCAATGCTCGCTCCCTTGCACTCCTCTCACTCAGACTATCCGCATCCTTCTGTGCCCCTCCCCCACCTCGTAAGATAGTCTTGGTTCTCATCATGCGTCCACACCTGCCGACTGAGCCCACTCCTATATCACCGATCCACCTATGCCTGCCCCGCTCCAATTGGTGCAGCACCTCTTCCTCCGCTGGGTGGCTGACCTCGCCCTCTTCCACCACGACCACGCTGGCCTCCTCGGCCTCCCTCGTATCCACCACGTCCACCTCCGGGACCGCCAGGGTGGTTGCTCTGCTGATTCTGGTTCTGATTCTGGGGCGGTCTATCATTCTGTCTTCGTTGATTCTGAGATTCGGCTGGCGGTACATTGGCTCCATTGACGCCGGACGCATTATTCAAAGCCCTATCATTCGAGTTCGCATTGCTCTGTTGACCGTTGCTTGTTTGTTGTCCAGGCTGAGAGGGAGCAGGCGGCGTCGCACTGTTGTGTTTCGGCGCAGCTGGCGTGGCACTGTTGCCCGCTCGTTGTTGAGGGGGCTGAGGCTGAGCCGGAACCGCTGAGCCAGGCTGAGACGACGCTGCAAGCTTGGGGGGAGCAGCCCGGGGGGGAGGAGCTGCAGCAGGTTCTGGTTCGATAGAGGACGGAGCGACATAGAGCACAGGGTCAATGGTTCCGGGAATAGGGGCAATCTCAGTGCCTAGTTCAGATTCGATACGATACAGATTGTGACGGTCCTCAATCTGCAAAAGGTGTCAACTGGGAGGTGTTGAGCGCCTGGCTCACCGTCAGAAGTGAAATAGCCAATCCAAGATGTCCAAAACGTCCAGATCGACCGCTGAGACCACATCAGTATCTCCAAAGTCGAGTGACCTGAGTAGTACTTACATCCGATGGAGATATGACTCAGCGGTTCGCGGGAAATCGAAGTTGATGACGACATTGACAGCTTGGATATCGATACCTCGAGTGAGAAGATCTGAAAGGCGGGTCAGTAGATGTGTCTCCTCGCTCTCAATTCACTCACCTGAGCAGACGAGATTCCTCGTCATTCCATTTCGAAAGTCATGGAAGACTCTATTTCGATGAGCCTGGAGCATTTTTGCGTGAGAATAGAAACATGAGTAGCCGAGTTCTGTGATCTTCTTGGCGAGCAGCTCGACACGATTGGTAGAATTACAAAAGATGATGGATTGGTTGATTTGCAGCTATGGGTCCCGGAGCGTCAGCTAGCTAGGAAAGCACAGTACATGAAGTTGCGTCACCTTGGAAAAGAGAGTATTGAGACAGTGAACTTTTTGACGTTCTTCTACGTAGGCGTAGTATTGAGTGACACCCTTGAGTGTGAGCTCGTCCATGAGATTGACCTCGAAAGGTTGGACCATGTGTCGATCCTTGAATCATTCATGGTCAGCCGAGAGCATGCATGGCTGAGACTTTAAGCGGCCAGCTCACCGAGAAATCCTTGACAATGTATGGGAAAGTAGCGGAGAACAGCATGACCTGTCTCTCCTGGGGGCACAAGGCCAATAGCTGTTCGATGACTGGCGTGAATTCCTCGCTCAACAGTTTATCCGCTTCGTCCATGACGAAACTTTTGCATCGCTTCAAGTCTGCGATGCCTTTTCCACCGAGATCCAAAATACGTCCCGGGGTTCCAACGAGAATATGAACGGGTTCTTGTAATCGCATAATATCATCACGTAATGTTGTTCCACCCGTGGAGACCATGACTTGAAGTCCTGGAATGTGGGCCCCAAGCGTCTTACAGACTTGGGATGTTTGTAATGCCAATTCCCGAGTGGGAACGAGGAGAAGAGCTTGAATGTGAGGGATAGAAGTGTCGACGAGGTTTAGGGAAGGAATGACGAATGATGCGGTCTGTCACGGGTGTTAAGCGACAGAGCCAAGAGAGAGAGAGGCAGTCCAACTCACCTTACCAGTACCGTTCTTTGCTCGAGCTAGAATATCTCTGCCAGAGAGTGCCATTGGGATGGCTTGTTCTTGGATAGGGGATGGTTTTTCGAATCCAGCGGTGTAGATACCCATCAAAAGCTCTCGCTTCAAGTCAAAGTCGTCGAATGATGAGCCGCCCGTTGCCGTGACATCCTTGAGACGAGAGTTAGGGCCATATTGACAACGTACAACTCACCTCTGTCTGTGGCCGGTCATCTTTTGGCGGAGCTTTCAAGCCTGTTCTGTAGTCCTGTTGTCTACAAACCAGTGAGCACGAGGTATATCAAGGACACAGGGAGCGACTCACGGTGAGGACATGATGGGAAAGGGGGGAAGAGAGGGAGAGGAGTGATGAGAGCGGTCGGAGGAAGGTTGACGCGCGGCCTGTTGCTTATCAGATGTTGACGGTAGTAAGAAGTCTAGGGCAAGGTGACAAGTAGTATGTAAGGGGGCTCTTGTCGCAGATATCGTATGCTCCTTTCCGTACGTGCTCAAGGACGTTTGGCCCACCGGAAATTGGGGGTCGGAGGGTGTGGTGTGGTGGCCCCGAACGCGAGGCGGAGGTTTCGTTGCTTGTCTCAATTGAGCAATGGGGCGTAGATTGCTTGCGGAATTGATTGTGCTTTGGTATGTCGATATATTTGTTGAGTTGAAGTGATTGGTGGTGTAGTTGGAGAGTGGGATTTATCGAATGCAACGTAGGAGCCGGTATACTGGAGCCATGGCAGAGTTTGATAAGCTGGCTGGTACTAACATGACGTGGCAATGTTTGAACCGGATCTCGCCACGCGAGTGCTTTTCACGCGTGTCTCTGCGAGGCTCTCTGGTGTTGGGGGTTTTGCGTTTAGGAAGTAGTCATCCAAGGGGGTTAGGTCGACTTCATCATCTCATCACCTACCTTGTACGTTCATATAAATACATAGCGTTCAACATCGCGACTGCAGGGTCAGGATCAACAATCACATTGTCACACTGCACCTCAGCCGTCATCACATGGACGCACCGTAACGGTCCTTTGGTTTACTCTGTTATTGTCCTTACAGAGGCTCGAGCGCAAAGCAGCAGCAGCAGCAGCGGCGGCGGCGGCGGCGGCGGCAACAACAGAGCAACTCTTGACACTGTGTCAGTCGATACCATAGTCTCTCAGCCAGTCTGAGCCGACTTACTTGCCATCATGGACCCCTCTATGCTGCTTCGACGAAAAGCTAGGGACACGACTCTAGATGCAGCGGCACAAGCGGAATTCAACGAGAAGAGGTGAGTTGGAAGACAGCCACAGTTGAATGATCATATCTATGGATTACAATGTTGACGGTTGAATATCCTTTATACACACTTTGTCTCTTTGCTATCCTCCTCAACGCCCATCACCATCACCGTCACTTTCACCTCCACCCATCTGCTCCACCTCCCCGCCTCTACCATGTCTCGCCTGGTCTCGCTAAACCGCCGAATGACCTATCATTCATCTCTTCCTTACGACAACCTCTCGCCAACCGTTAGACGAGTATGGATCCCCGATACAACGGAAGGCTTTGTCCCCGGTTGGATAAAGTCTCAATCGGGGGAGGAAGGCAATCCAGAAGCGACTGCAGAAGTCGTCTGCTCGACGACTGGCGATATCAGGACAGTACCACTTTACACTCTTTCACCCATGAACCCACCTCAATTCGATGGCGTCGATGATATCGCTGATTTGACTCATCTAAATGAAGCGAGTGTCGTCAGCAATCTCAAGCAGAGGTATGGTGCAGGAGGTATCTACGTGGGTTTTTGCTTTACAGAATTGGCCGGCCCACTAATCACATTCTTGTCGTCTGACGCAGACCTATTCCGGGTGAGCTGTCCGCCAATTTCTGCTTCACATCACAGCTTACACCATCCTAAGCCTCTTTCTCATCTCCATGAATCCATATCGGTCCCTGCCCATCTACACCCCGCGGATAGTCGCTCAATACAGACAAAAGCGGCGAGAGGAGAATCCACCACACATATTTGCCGTTGCAGAACGGGCATGGCAGCAGGTCGGCGAGGAGAGAGAGTCTCAGAGTATCCTAATCACGTATGCGAATCCAACACCCTAGTGCGTTTCCAGCTGATCGTTCTCAGCGGAGAGTCTGGCGCTGGAAAGACTGAAAACACCAAAAAAGTCATTCAGTACCTCGCGGCCATTGCCTCCTCGGCCTCCTCTTCCATGGCTGAGTCCTCCTCTTCCGGTCTCATAAAATCAGGATCTCAATCGCTCGCTCCGGCCATTGGTCTGCCAAGATCATCCAGTTTCAAAGGAAAAGAAGCTTCTGATATAGACCTCGCATCCGTTGCTTCGTCGAGTCTTGGGCTGTTGGAGAGGCAGATCTTACAGGCCAATCCGATCCTCGAAGCGTTTGGTAATGCTCAGACGATGAGGAACAACAACTCAAGTCGGTTCGGCAAGTTCATCAAGATCTTCTTCTCGCCTGCTGGAGCGATCGCTGGGGCCAACATCGATTGGTATCTGCTGGAAAAGAGTCGAGTGACGGCACGAGCTTCGGGTGAAAGGTGTTTCCACGTGTTCTACCAGCTACTGGCCGGGGCGAAAGAAGCGGGCCTTACAGGTGAGCCGATCCAACCTGCGTGTGACATTGAGCTCATCGTAAATTAGATAAATTGCTTCTACATGGGGCTGCTGACCAATTCGACTTCCTGAAAAAGAGTCGTCAGCAGATTGACGGTGTGGATGATTTGTCAGAATGGCGTTTGCTCAAGGTAAGGGGAACGTGGCGGAGGTCCTGACATCTCTCAGGATGCTCTGGACGTGGTAGGCTTCTCTTCGTCTGAACAATTCGAGCTGTTCCGAATCCCAGCCATCATCCTGCATATTGGCAACCTCGCGATCACTGGATCAGGATCCGATCAAGCTTTCTTCGCTCCCGAATCGCAAGCTATTGCGGACAAAGTTTGTCACCTTCTCGGTATTGACGTTTCCGAGTTCACGAAAACGGTGCTGCGTCCAAAAGTACGCGCCGGAAGGGAGTGGGTTACCCAGAGTAGAAGCAAGAAACAGGCAGAAGATGAGCTCGGCGCACTTTGCAAGTTTGTGTACGAAAAGACATTCGGGTGGATGGTGGAAAGGATCAACCGGGCCCTGGATAGACCAAGTGCTAAGGCGTGAGGGGTTGTCATACTCCGGATTCTCTTGCTGATCCTTCTGCCAGACTGTCCATCGGAGTTCTGGATATTGCTGGATTTGAGATCTTTGGTCAGTCTTGACCCGGGTATTCTGCCACAGACCTGACACCTTAGCAGAGCAAAACTCGTACGAGCAGCTCCTGATCAACTTTACCAATGAGAAGCTGCAACAGGTGCGCTGCAGATGAAAATTGGGGCTGATCACCACAGTTCTTCAACTTCCACATGTTCACGCTCGAGCAGGAGGAGTACACTCGAGAAGGAATCGAGTGGAACTTTGTCAACTTTGGCCTGGACCTTCAACCCACCATTGAGCTCATCGAGTCATCGATGCCTATCGGAATCCTCTCTTGCCTGGACGAAGAATGTATCATGCCAAAAGCAACAGATAGGTCATTCTGTGAAAAAGTTCATGATCTGTGGGAGACCCGCAAGGGCAGCGCGCCGAAACATCCTGGCGAGAGCAAATTCAAGGCTGATCGTCTGCGAGATGGATTCTTGGTGAAGCATTATGCTGGCGATGTGGAGTACAAGATAGAAGGCTGGCTGGAGAAGAACAAGGATCCAATCAACGAAGCTGTCGCTCGACTTTGCGCTGGGTCGGAAATCCCTGCCGTGGCCTCATTGTTCACTGAATATGCCGAGGACACCAGCCCGACGGGGGTGGTCAAAAAGGTCAAACGTGGAGCTTTTAGGACAGTCGGACAACGCCACAAAGAACAGCTTGGGCAACTCATGAAGCAGCTTGGAACCACTCAACCTCATTTCGTCCGGTGTATCGTGCCGAACTCTGAGAAGCGCCCTGGAAAGCTCGAAGCCAATCTCGTCTTGGATCAATTGCGCTGCAATGGTGTCCTGGAGGGAATTCGTATCGCTCGCCTGGGATACCCCAATCGACACTCTTTTGCCGAGTTTAGGTCTCGATACGAGGTCCTCACGCCTGGCGTCATCCCGCCAGGATACGTTGACGGACGCAAGGCAGCTGAGAAGATTGCCTCAGCTTTGGAGCTCGACAAGGCATTCTATAAAGTGGGAGCGACGAAGATCTTTTTCAAAGCTGGAGTGCTTGCGGAACTCGAGGAGCGACGAGATAACCTTCTCACTGATATTTTTAGACGATTCCAATCTGCCGCTCGGATGCACATTGCCCAACGACGTATTCGAAAGCTGCTCAACCGTGCTCAGGCGATCAAGACGATCCAACGGAACGCCAGAGTATATATCGCCTTGCGAGATTGGCCATGGTGGTCCCTCTACGTCAAGGTTCGACCTCTGCTTGCCGCCACCAAGGCAGACGACGAATTGGTCAAGAAGCAGGCCGAGCTTGCGATTGCAAAGGAGCGAGAGCAGCGGGAACAAGAGGAACGTAAGAGGTTGGAAGAGCTCAAGACGACGTTGGCTGCTGAAAAGGCCAAGATCGAGGACGAATTGTCTTCGGAACGGCGGATTGGCCGTGATCGCGATGAGATGCTTGCTCGATTGAAGACGAGGGAAGCGGATCTCTTGGAGAAAATCAAAGAGCTCGAAGGGGATCTCGATATCCTTGGATCCGATAGAGAGCAAGCAATCGCTTCGGCTGACAAAGCCAAAAGCAAACTGGAACGACTGCAGCTCGACTTTGACGCCATGATGGATCAAGCTAGCATGTTGGAGAAGCAGAGCACGCAGATCAGACAACGCGAAGCGGATCTGCTCAAGGAGTCGCAACAGCGGACGAGCAACCAGAGTCGACTGGAAGGTGAAAAGGATACCTTGTCTCGAGAAGTAGAGACATTGAAGCGGGAGGTGGGGCAGAAAGAGGAGGCTGTGAAGAGGTCGAGGGAGAGGAATGACCTGGCGGTGAAAGAGCTGGAAAAGAGGCTGCAGTTGGAAAAGACGAGAAAGTGAGTGGTTGCGTCCTCCCTGATCTTGGCTCATTTGAAACAGCGAGTCGTACACTTCTCAGGTGGCTACATTGACCGATGAGCTTCGGCGGTCAACTTTGCAGTATGAAGAGCTCTTGAGCACTATCAAGCGACATGAATCGACCATTGCTGCCAAGCAACGCGAATTGTCCGAAATGGAATCCAGGCAAGCAACCAATTTGAAAGCACAGGAGGCTGTCGAACAGGCCAAAGCCACCATGCAGGTGAAGATCGATGCCTTGGCTGCGGAGCTTCAAACTCGCGATACGGAACGCAGTCAACATTCGACGATCCGACAGAAACTTGAGAGGGAGATTGACGATCTCCGTCGAGTCATGGATGAAAAGTCGTCCGAGGATGTCAAGCGACGTGAAGCAGACAAGTCTCGAGAGGCTGAAATGGCCGGCCTGAGAGATCAGACAAAGTCATTACAGAAGGCCTTGGATGAGCAACGGGATAATGCACAGAATCTGGCCAATCAGCTACGAGTGGATGTCGAAGGATTGCGGACGAGTCATACAAACGCTCAGAGGGATTTGTTGAATGCTCAGAATGGACTCAAGGAGAAGGAGTCGCAACTTGAAAAGCTACAAAAGGAGATCGAGGCGGTTCACGAGAAGCGGCGTGGGATCGAAGGCGAGCTCCGGGGCGTCAGGAGTCAGGTCGATGTGGCGGAGCAACAACTCAAAGCGGCCAACAATGCAAGAGAGGTAAGTGGAAAGTGAAGAAGGCTATGATTCTGACCACACGCGTGTAGGACCTCGAGAAACGCCTCGCAGAGATGCAAGATAAATACAATGATCTTGAAGATGCGGTCCTCTTGATTGAAGACGAAAAGGCTGATTGGGCTCGACGTATGGAGTCGACTAGTCGTCAACTCGCGGAGGAATATGCCAAACGGCGTCATTTCGAATCGGAGCTGCACCAATGCCAAGTCGAGCTCGCTGCGCATCGAAATACGGCTCTGGAAGCTGAGAGGGAGTTGACAAAAGCTGCTGGAGAAATGAAATCTCGGGATGCGGAAATTGCGCTGCTTCGAAGTCGAGAGAATAAGACGATTGTGGAGCACGTTCATGTCCTGGAGCAGGCCAAGAAAGTGACAGACCGACAATTGGCCGAACAAGTCAAGGAGAATTCACGACTCAATACCTTGATGAAGAGTATCGAATCGCATCGCAACAGGATCAACGCAGACTTGGAGGACATGACGAGGCAATTCGAATTGCTGAAAGCTTCTCGAGGGCGGGAAGTCCGATCGGCAAGAGCGAGCGTGTCAAACGAAGATAAGGACTTGGATATGGCTCTGGAGGATGAGCGCAAAGCTAGGATGGCTGCGGAATCGCATGTCGTCTCGCTAGAGAAAGATCTTGCGGATCAGCGGAAACAACTCTCGACCTTGTCTTTGGGCGCTCGTGATCGATCTGGGCTGGAGACACGGCTAGCCAGGACTCAAGAGGAACTGTATCGCTTGTCGCAGGAACACGAGGATGTTTTAACGGTCAACACTCGTCTACAGAATGAGGTCAACACCT